TTCTCTATTTTCAAGATGTCATGTCATAACTTTCTATATCCAATTATTTTTTTTTCCAAGGCAAATAAACATTCATTCAAAACTCAAAGCAGTACGAGTTCACGGTAATCAAATGATTACAATCATATAATCTTACAAGAGTAGAGACTAACGGCCCGAGCAAGGTAAAACCTGACCCTAGAAGGCTAAAACATAAGCCACAATATTCAGCTATAGAAACTAATAAATTGTTCCAACATAGACATTACATTGAACAATCAAATCTTTAATAATGGATAAATGAGGACAAATCACTTCTTGTACTACCAAGCAACTAGCTATCTCCTCCACCAAATCATAAGAATGCAGTAATAGAGAGAAATTGTTGAAATTATTGTTCTTGGCCATGGACAAACTCCAATAAACAGTCCTCAACCATCTGCCTCTTTCCTGCCAAGTTCCATGGAGTGTATCCTGCCATTGAATGGTGTTTGAACCCTGTTGATCAAAGAAGCATTCCACATCCACCTCTCCAACATTAGACACTGAAGCACTGAGAGTCATCACTGACTTACCTACTTCCTCGGAAAAATATCTAGTTGAAGTTGTACATGTGTTTGCCCCCTCTACTGGTTGAGCTAGCAGATGTTGATAATGTCCATTCCAACCACTCAGCCTTTGCTTCTCCTACAATCTGCTGATCATGTATCCAATCTCCCTTGTAAAGCCATTTATTTCTTGCTTTTCACAGCAAGAAGACAGATAGGCCAAGCCTTTCTTCTCTCATAATCAAGTGATTACCACAGCAAATATGAATCCACCACTTTTGATATTCCACAAAACCAGAATGAAGAGAGGACCAACTAATGCACACAATTTCCAACAATTTTTAGCCCTCTGACAGTTAATAAAATGTGATTTAAATCTTCTACACACTCTCCACACACAACACAAATGGAGTCCACAGACATACCTCTTCTCAGCAATTGCTCATTTGTACTTAAATGTCCAAACCAACATCTCCATAAGCTCTCTCATTCTGTCCCCACCAAAAATCAGCAATGTCCCTACAAAGATTTTTAATAATAGTCGCATGAACTTTAAAACATGACATAATGTAGGTGGGCAAGACATTCAAAACAGCTTTAATCAAGATTTCTTTACCCCCTTCATTCAAAAAATTGTTCTTCCAGTTTCCAATTCTGTTATGCACACACTCACATAAAAAATTAAAGGTCTCTCTCTTATTCTTACCAATGCCTAAAGACAGTCCCAAGTATTTAGAAGAAGAAACCCTAGAGATTCCAGCCAGTGCATTACAGATATTGACACAATGACTCTCACTCAAATTCTTAGAGAAGAAGATGGAAGATTTATCAAAGTTAACCAATTGCCCAGAGTCATGACCATACCTAGACAAAATAGAAAGAAGAACATTTGCATGGTGGATATCAGCTTTACAGAAAAGCAAGGAATCATCAGCAAACAAAAGGTGTGTAATGCTAGGAGCATGAGGACCAATTCTAATACCTTGAAATTGACCAGACAAACAGGCTTGTTTAATCAGAGAAGAAAATGCTTCAGAGATCAATATAAAAATGTAAGGAGATAATGGATCACCTTGTCTCAAACCTCTACTAGGCTAAAGAAAACCTTTTGGAGAACCATCCACATTAAAAGAGTATGAAGCAGAGCAAACACAAGCCAAAATCCAAGAAATAAAGGTAGGAGAAAAACCCATTTTATGACACACCCTAGCAATAAAACCCCATTCTACCCCATCATAAGCTTTAGCCATATCAAGTTTCACTGCCATGTAGTTCATTTTACCTCTCCTCTTACTATTAATAAAGTGAATGCATTCATTCATTGGCTATTATAACATTATCCAAAATTTGCCTACCTGGTACAAATGCAGATTGAGACTTGGAAATGCATACAAATAAAGTAGGTTTAAGTCTATTGGCAATCACTTTAGCTATTAGTCTATAAACCACAGAGCATAAACTGATAGGCCTAAAATCAGCAACACAAGTAGGATTTTTCTTCTTAGGAATAAGGGTGATAACAGTATGGTTCAAACCCCTAGGCATCCTACCTTGAGCAAAGAAATTATCAACAGCTAAACACACATGATACTTGAGAACAGGCCAAGAATTATGAAAAAATAAACTAGATGGGATTTTGAAATCCGAGAAGGAAAATCAATAGACTAGATGGTAAAATACTTGAGAACAGCATGCTTGTGTTAATCAGAGAAGGAAAATCAATAGACTAGATGGGATTTTGAAATCTGATGGTTCTCCTTGTTTGAATTCTCATGATGTGCTATCTGAATTGCTTGCTTATTTCGAGAATATATTTAAATCTTCTAACCCCTTAGAGGAAATGTGTTCTCTTGATGGCATTGCTTGTAGCATTACTGAGGATATCAATCAGGATTTGACTAAGAAAGTTGATGAGGAAGAAGTTAAAACAGCTTTGTTTGAAATGACCAAAGATAAGGCTCTTGGGGTTGATGATTTTACTGCTATATCCAATTATAAGTTTTGATTATTATTGAGGATATTTTACATGGTGGAAAACTATCTCATCTAAAAGATTTCATGTTGTTGCAAATGAAAGGGAATTTAAGATGGGAGTTATATGGTGGTGGTCGATAAGGGAGCTACAAGTTGAAGCCGAGAAAAAATCTCTGCCTTTTTCATGCCTTTTTCGGTTTAAATTTAATAAAAAGTATATTAATTAATTGCCCCGCATGGTATTAGTATTACTTTCTTTGGGTGTTGGTATTACTTTCTTCGGNATCTTGTATGAAACATTTTGTTTCATTTTTAATATATAAAAAATGTATTGTCTAGACAAACGAAAAGAATTTTTGTATGAAAACATTTTTATTTTTGCCTCAACTGTTGTCGTCCATATCACTAGCTAAATTTCTTTACAAAAAAGTAACAAAATAATACGTTTTAAATGAACGAGTGAAAATCAAAGAAAATGAATTATAAAAAAATATGTATATAATAACTTGAAAATACTATGATAATTAAGATGGGAAATACTATTAAGATTTTTTGGAAAAAAATTTGTCACGTCCGAAAAAGTGAGAAGGAAATGGGGAAAACTTTATTTTTTAACTTTATTTTTTAAAGCTCTTGTTTGGCGATCAGCGGATAACAGATAGCGGATAACGGAATGTATCAACGGATAGGGAGTAGCGGATTATATTAGCTGATTTGATCAGCGGATTACATTAGTGGTTTTTAAATAAGTGTTTGGTAAATAGCTGAAAGCTTATAACTGTTTGACATTGCAAAATGACCAATAAGGACATTTTATTATTTAGGGTGTATCCTTTTAATAATAATATATTAAATATTTAATATTCTTTAGTTGGTAGTTTATAAATATATATATTTTTTTTAAATTTACTAACACTTGATGAAGAAGTTATGAATTTTATATTGTTCTAGATAAATTAATCATATGGATGACATATTATTATTTATTAGCTCTATAAACCAATGTAGATTGTAAAATAAATAAGACAAATTAAAAAGTTCTAAGTAAAACCTCTCAATTGTGAATCATCTATCCCAAAAAGTTGCTATAATGAGCTTTTTCTAAATTAGAGTTTTGGGCCTAAAAAGCTTATTAAATAAGCTATTTACCAAACAAGCTCAATAGCGGATTTGACGGGTCAAACCTCTCAATTAAGTTTACTCCGTTAATTTATCTTCAATCCGCTATCTACCAAACGAGACCAAAATAAATAAATAAATATATTTAATTACATAATAATTAAAATTAATGTGATATGAAAATGATAAAATACTAATTATAAAATGATAGTCAATGTTAGTAGCAATTTTTAATTAAATTAAATTAAATAAAAATTAAAATAAACGTTCGCCCTTGCGTGAGCCCCAAACGACGCCATCGCCGTAACCGTCTACTATATATAAGAGGACTTAAGCGGCTGTAAACAAAACCCTCGAATTTCCCTTTTCGGTGCCTGAGATAAATCTACGGCCGCCATAGAAAATCCGGTTAAGGTAGAACGAAAGAGATGCCGGGATTGACTTGCAACGCGTGCAACAAGGAATTTGCAGATGATGTCGAGCAAAAACTCCATTACAAATCCGAGTGGCACCGATACAACCTCAAACGCAAGGTGCTTTTTCTGTTATTTTTGGTTCTAATCAATTTTATCAGCTGATTCTTTTTGCAACCTATTTCATGGGCAATTGTTACTTTCTTATTGTTGGTCCAAAAATTTAATGGCCCTAATATATTTCATTTACCATCTTAAGTGCCTCTTTTGTGGATCTAAATTCTTTTTGCTTCGTCTTCTTTTTTCTCCCTGGTTGTGATTTTAGAAATGATCGTGGTAGTATTTGTTCGTGCAGCTGCTCTGTCAAGATTTTTTTTTATTGCATATGGTGCAACTTAGAAATGGTTATCAATAATCAAGTAAGAATTGAATTAAAATTGAGCTTTTAATTAAGTATAAATCTTAGAATTAGATGGGCTTCTTAGAGTGATGAAACATAATGTTTTCGTTGCCTTAAACCTAATTTCATAGGTTCTTTCATCGTTGGTAAACTTGATTAGAGCTCATGTAGCTGGTGATTTGTTAGAATTTTAAATTTCTAGTCTTTCCATGAATATGCTAAGGTTTGAGCTGGGCGGAATTCTCTTAAGTTATCGGTAACCGCACTGTTATCTTGAAGTGCTTCTTGTTCTTTCAAGTGCACGAATTTTTGTCAGACAATTGCTCGAGTCACCTTTATCTAATCAATATCATGAGTGTTCTTCATTTCTGTATAGGTGGCGGGTGTCCCAGGGGTGACTGAAGCGCTATTCATAGCCAGACAATCTGCACTTGCAGCAGAAAAAAGAAAGATAGATGAGGCTCCCATGGTTTACAGCTGTGGTCTTTGTGGTAAAGGGTATAGAAGTTCTAAAGCCCACGCGCAGCACCTGAACTCCAAAACTCACTTTTTGAGGGCTTCTGAAGGGAGCAGCGGCAATGGTGTCGGGAGTACAATCATAAAGCCTCTTACACGCCGTGCTCCAAAAGAGCCGTCTCATCATGCGGTGCAAGAAGATGGGGAAAGTGAAGACAGTGAATGGGAAGAAGTCGATCCCGAAGAGGACTTAATTGACGAGGCCCGTGATTCATTGGGAAAGCTTAATGTGGATGGGAACCCTTCAAATGCTGACATGGATGAGGATGAGGATGCGGAGTTTGAGGACTTGGATCCGTCTAGTTGTTTTATGTGTGATTTGGAGCATGACACAATCGAGAGCTGCATGGTTCATATGCACAAGCAGCACGGGTTCTTCATTCCCGATGTTGAGTATCTGAAAGATCCCAAAGGTCTTCTCACATACCTTGGCCTCAAGGTAATGGCCTGCCTTAAAAATAAAAAAAAAATGATAGAATGTTGCAAAAGAATCCAGGAATGCTTTAAAATTATAAAGAGTTAATGTGGTTTAGTTTCCTCTTAACCTTCCTATTCATGATTGATTTTTTTTTCGTAAGTCTCCCTTGAATTCATCAAAATGTTCCCTGTTGCCCCTTGATTCCAAAAGAGGATCAAATGTTAAGGAGCTTCTCATAATAATAAAATTTCCGTTTCTCCTTTTCTTCGTTTTGTTGTAAACTTGTAATAATTGTGCAGCCCAGGTAATTTTTGTAATTATCATGATTATATGTGAAGGTGATGTAACTCGGTGCCATATTAATGTGTCATTTTATATAGGCTCAGAATATTTTGTAACAATTTTTAATATTTACTTGCTCTTAAATTTTTTCTTCATCAGGTAAAGAGGGACTTTATCTGTTTGTACTGCAACTGGAGATGCCATCCTTTCAGTAGTCTGGAAGCTGTTAGAAAGCACATGGAAGCAAAAAGTCACTGCAAAGTGCACTATGGTGATGGAACTGAAGATGAGGAAGCAGAACTGGAAGAATTTTACGATTACAGCAGCAGGTTTTTAATTTGCCATTTCTTTAGCTTTTGATGAAATTGTCATGCTCCAGTGGCCAATTTTTTCCTCACCCCTTCATTTTTCTTCAATCTTTCTTTTTGCCTTAAAAAGTTACGTGGATGTTGACGGGAAGCAAATAGTTGCTGTTGACGACTTGAATAATGCAATTCAACTGGGTAGCGGTGGATCGGAGCTGATTATAACCAGGCAAAATGATGGCTTGAAATCAACTAAAATGCTTGGCTCTCGGGAGTATTTGAGATACTACCGTCAGAAACCCCGCCCTACCTCTGCCAATGGTGCCATTACTGCAGCTTTAGCATCAAGGTATGTGATTGGAACCTTTTCTATTTCTTGCGCTAAAAAACTGTAAATTATAGTATCCCGTGCATCACATTTGTTGCCGATGCGCATTTGTTACCTTCCTCAGACTCCAATCCAGTATGAAAAGAGGCATAAAACATAAATGGGGGTCGATTAAAAACAGGTCCCCCATGTTTGGTCTGATCAGAGAAAAACGAGAAGCATTAAAA